AATCAAGCATGACAGACATTAGTCCAACTTATTGTACTGCGCGACGAGATTAACTATAGGGTGATTTTGACATTACTTCTGCTATTTTTAACCAAAGATATGGTGAAGTGGATACATATCTCTATGACACCATTTTTGGACACTTATTTCTTTAGAATATTTTGGTAAGTAAACCCACAGGTGCTCGTCCAGTCTTGGTGCCCATATAAAAAAAAAAATGAAGTTTTAAAAAAAAAAATTGAAAAAAAAAAAATTTGAAAAAAAAAAACAACATCAAAATAACTATTTTGGGTCGAGTTTAAGAAAAAAAAAATTTGAAAAATTTTTTTTTTCCCTATATACCATTACTACGAAAAGGTCACCTAGTCGCCGTAACGCTCCGTTGATGGTCGGCCATTTTGTCAAAAACGAAAGTACAAAACATATGTATCGTACTGGTCCGCTCTCCTGGTTTCCTACGACTACGTGCGAGGAACAGTAGACAACGGTAACCATCAATTTATTGGTTACTGTTGTCTATTGTTCAGGGGACCAGAACAGTGAAACATTACGGTTTAGTTTTGTACTTTCGATTTTGACAAAATGGCCGACAATAACTGTTGTTTTGCAAAATTTTAACAAATTGGAGTGTCCGAGTTTAAATGTAAGTTATTTAAGATTGTATGTAAGGTACAATATAGAGGATATTTGTTTGTTTTGCATGTAAGATTGAAATATAATTTCACTGAGTGAACACCAGATGCAATATTTTCACGAGTGGTGTAGCCACGAGTGAAAATATAATAGCTGGTGTTCACGAATGAAATATATTTCAATCTTATATGTAAAACAAATAAATTTTCTTTTTATTTCATGCTTTTTAAGTGATTTTAAGTACTTTTTTACTAATTTTGCCGCGTAACGTCGCGCATTCTCCCATGTGACGTCATCACATCATGACGTTACATTATCAATTTTGAAAAATAGGTCTGTTACATTTCTCTAATTTTGTTACATTTTTAACATTATGTATGATGACATCGACTTTCTTTTCCTAAAGAAGCAAAATTTACGCATGACGGCATATATTTCTGCCTGTTATTCCATTCAGTTATGATTTTCCTTTCATCCGCATTCAGATATAGTCCGGCTACAGTGAAAATTATATTTTATAAATTTCACTAGTGGTTTATCAGAATATAATCATCTGATATATTACAATTAAAGGGTCTCCCTAATTACCGACAAGAACCGTCAGGAACCGACAAGAGCCTATATATTACAAATAAACACGTACAAATGTGTTTTTATGATTGTTAAACATGCAGGGCATATATATTTTTCATATTTGATAAGGGTTTTCTTGTATTTTTATAGAAAATTAAATATATGCGTACCGACAAGAAAAATTCGAGTGCAACGCGTACTGTTACTGTTACGTTGACACCCACAAGAAAGATTTGTTATTTTCAATATGATAAAATTAATATAATCAGTTGCAAAAGTTGTGGTCAGAATATATCTTATGAACATATTTCAACCTTATTTGTACTCATAAATCAGTTTTTCATGACATTGTATGAATGTATATGCAACCGACAAGAAAAATCCAGGGATCATACGTAATGAAGATTTACCGACAAGAAATCGAGAACGGACTGTAGTGTAGAAAGAACATGTATAAAATCTTTTTTTGTAATTAAATAACTTTTAACACTTTAAACTTTCATATTTTAATGCTTATAAGAAAAAATATTTGTGTTTATTCCTTTTAGTTTTAAAATATACTTAACAAATCGATTACCGTCAAGAAAAAACCAGGGATCATGCGTAATGAAGATTTACCGACAAGAAATTGGGAACGAGCTGTAGTGTCGATGTAGAACATGTATATAATCTTTTTTCTGTAATTAAATAACTTTTAAGACTTTAAACTTTCATATTTAAATGCATATAAGATTTTGCGTTTATTCAATTTAGTTTTTAAAGAAATTGAGAACGGGCTGTAGTGTAGAAAGAACATGTATAAAATCTTTTTTTGTAATTAAATAACTTTTAACACTTTAAACTTTCATATTTTAATGCTTATAAGAAAAAAAATGTGTTTATTCATTTTAGTTTTAAAATATATTTAACAAATCGATTACCAACAAGAAAAAAACAGGGATCATGCGTACTGAAGAAATGTTTAAAATTATTTATTGAATATAGACCGACAATAAATTATTTGAACACATTTAAAACCTACGCCATTGATAGCAATAATGAAACTTTCTTGTCGGTATCCACGAATATTCTCATAACATCATTCATTAATGATGATAACGTTATTCTTAATTGAATTAGAATACATTTAACATAATAATTATTATTTATAATATAACATAATCTTAATAAAAATAAATTATGATTTAACACTTATACACAAATTCTTAATGTAATATCAATGGTACGAAGATGGCAGAGTTCTTGACCAGGGTTCGACACTAACGGGGTCCCGGGATTCCGAGGATCCCAAAAAGTCGGGAGGAATCCCTGTGATTCCTAGCTGGGGATTCCGTTGGGATCCCTGAAAAATTGCTGTGTAAATTTTTGAAATTTTCTGAATTAATGTCATTGAATCACAAATATTCAAGAAAAGTGGTTCAAGAAAGAAAAGAAAAACCCCGCCGGTAAAATCTACACTCTTGAATTATGTACGCTAGTTTTTCTTTGTGCAGTGACTGCTATCAACTCATTTGCGATATAAAATGACAAAAATGTTTTGATTGAAGAAACATTCTTGTATACAGTAATTTTATATCATGCATTGACTTCATAAAATAGAGTTGTGAAAATTCAAAAAAGAAATGTAATTATCGTATAAATATTACACAAGCGATGTGTACTTCAAATTTGTGTTGATCGGCAATGCCGGCGGTAGCTACTGTACAGTTATCCAGTGTTTGTTGTTTGTTTTTTTATTGCCAAAATTCGGCACTTGTGACCATTGTAAATTTTCGTCAAAATTGTGAAAAAAAGATAACTGGTGTATTTTTTCTCCCTACAGTAGACTACAGCAAAAGTATAATTAATAAACAAAATAAAAAGAATCCATACTTTTAAGTTTAAAATCCTTTTTGAAACTCACAGCCCTTCAATGCTAAATTAAAAAACATTGTCTAACTAAAGTCTAAGTTCAATCAAGGTCACGCATTATTTACCGACAAGAAATACAAAAATCCTACGCGTTACGTGAAACATACAGCAAATGACGAAATATACAGCAATGACGTATATTTCATCTGACAGTGCTTTTAGCCAATCAGTGTTGTGAGCTACATGACTGCTTGTATGGGGTGAGTGCCTTTGATGTGACAGGTGTCAAAACTTACAAAAAAATCAATACACAGGGAGGAAAGGGATCGGACATTTCAGTGTAAAAATTGAGAACAATAAATTTGGATATTGCCCATCCTGTCAGGGACTTGGAGCAACTTATCATTTTTAAAAATGAAATCATTTAAAGGTACCATACTTGTAATGCAAACAAAACTGTTTCTTGATATTTTTATTAGCTTAAGTAAAAGATTATCAAAATATTTAATTTACAACAATCTATGGGATTTTTCCTTTTAAACACAAAAATGTAAAATGAAATCAAATATTTTTTTAAAGTGATTATAATTAAGAATTTCCTTAAAAATGACATGAAAGTAAATAATTATAGACAGTTATCCATACCAGACCTTTCTGGAATATGGAGCCTGATCATTACCTGTAACTTTTTAAAGATCTACATATGATAAGTGGGCTCTATTTCAGTGAACCCTAGGCTATCTGGGAAAATGTTTCCCCAGTTCCTATTTAACTTCAAAAATTCAAACCACCTTGTCAAGTTACTTGCACTATACCTTCATTTAGATACAGAAACTGGTTCACAATTATCAACTCCAGGGAGAAAACAGGTTTTAGCAAGCTATTTTCAAATCGAACTCTTGTTCAGTGAGCTTAATGTTATTCTGTTTCCATGTTCATGTAAAAATATATTATGTTTTAATTTATCTTAGCAGTCCAAATATATACTTTGAAACGCTTTTAAAACTTTAAATAGCATTATTTCCAAAGAGCTCATAAACTACATTTTCTGCATCTGAAACAAGACAATATATCCTGTATGTAGTCTCAAAAATGAAAAGAATTTGAAATCGAATTGCTGCAATCCCTTGTTATTCTTCGCCTCCATATTTTACTATTTTGATATGAGGAATCCCTGACATTTAGGAGGAATCCCTGAATTAAATCTCAGGGATTCCTGTGGGATCCCTGGTAAAAACAGTTAGTGTCGAACCCTGTTGACGGTGAGAAACTGAGACTGACTTCTTGTCGGTATAGATATTTGCCAATAAACATGGTTCAGAACGAATTAATTATGTTTTTTTATGTAAAAAATATTAGGGATTGTTATAATTGAATGATGAATAAATGAAATTAATTCGTATTTTCCCATTTTTACTTCTTGTCGGTTCTTGTCGGTTCCTGACGGTTCTTGTCGGTAATTAGGGAGACCGCAATTAAACACTGGAAAGCATGAAATAAAAGAATGTTAACAATTTTCTAAATGCACAAAAAAGGTCACCTAGTCGCCGTAACGCTACGGAGCTTTACTAGGACACACTGTGGAACAACCACAATGTCGAGTTCTGTAACAATAAAAGCTATTTTGCTACTCTTTACACATTGTGCATTTAGAAAATTGTTAACTAGTTAGATTTTCTATTTTGATGTTGTTTTTTTTTTCAATTTTTTTTTTTAAAACTTCATTTTTTTATATGGGCACCAAGACTGGACGAGCACCTGTGAGTAAACCTACATTTTTGTCTTTGAAAACACAAAGTATCAGTACTAAAGCCTTCAATCCCAACAAATGATTTGACAGCTCATTCTCTAATAATTTCTGAAAGTTGATCGATGAAACACAAAAAAAGCTTTTACCGCAAATCAACAAATTGTCTTCACATAATATTTAACATTTTACTTACGTCTTGATAAGATGAATCTAACGACCAAAGAAATATACGATATCAATCGTAATTTAGGTGTATTTCGAGGTTTCTTGTTTAAAATATTTTGATAGGTGTTACCGGCTAGGAAAAATGGCTGCCTCTGATACCTCCTATGTTCATTAACCAATCAAATTGCGTCTCTCTAGTCTCGAATGAATTCAGCCAATAGAATTAATCTATACTAAAAATGATGGTTTATGTTACTGGTTCCAAGCCCTTGATCTAATCCTGAAGTTGGAAATCATACAGAATGTCGGTCAGCGCATTACGTCAAGTGATACAAAAACGTGTAAGTACAATTCATTACTATCTTAATTGCAAATCAATGTCATAACAACACCATTACATTATTTTTTATGAAATGTGTTTCTTTTTTTCACCCGATATATGAACGACATGCAGAAGAAATTTCGAAGTCACGGCTAAAAATTTCCACTACAGTAGCTAGGTAGCTCTTGTATAAATTGCATCTATTGTTACGCAATAAAATCAAGTAAAGTTAGATATAATTAATACATTTTTGATTCACGATGATTCAGAAAAGGAGATTGTGTTTACATAGATGTAAATTGTTCAATTGCATCACGAATCTGATGACCTAGATACAGTTCTCAGCATTTTGACCTAGACTGGTGAACTGAAATATACATGTACATCTACATACAAAATGTACATGTGTTAACCATATGTACAGCTGATAGGTTTTTTTAGCTGATTATTTACTCACAATCGCTGTTTTTATTGGGCATTTTGTACCAAATAAAGATGTTTTCAACATCACAATCCTTATAATTACTATAATTAGCCCTGATTAATCATATAAGTGTCTGAGGCCAAAGGTGCTTTGATTTGATGTAACATATGATATGTTTAATCTTGTTATTCATGCAATATGATGAACAATTTTTTAAATTATTATTTCTTTTTTTTTTAAATAAAAAAATCTGATATTCTATGTATTCACTATTGTTAAAGATCTAGACATAATGGAAATCTGATTTTTTTTTAAATATAGCCTATGGATATATTGCATGAATATATTTTAGGTCAAATCAAAGTGATTAAATCCTTTGACTGGGGTTTGGGGAATTTTCTTTGTTTTTAAAGAATAAAGGACGTTAGGGAATTTTGTCTTTCATGACATTAAGTTCTACAAATTATGTTAGATTGTTTTGTCAATGCAATTTGGAATATGGTATTGTTACGGGTCTCCTGCTTCTGGCAGCTTAAATCATTTTTATGTTGCCTCTTGTAGCGACATATAGGTATCACTTCTCTGTTGTCTGTCTGTCCGTCCATCCATCCATCTCAGACATAAAACTTGTCCAGACTGCTCTTCAAAACTTCTGACTGCTGCAAATTCATCCAAACTTTACAGGAATGATCAGTGTCAAGTCTAGTTGTGCATATCATCGCAATTTTCCGGTTCAATGATTTTTGTCAGAGTTATAGCCCTTTAATAATTTTCATTTTTAAAGTTTGTCTTGACTACTTCTCAGTTCTCTTATACCACTTATGCAATATCAATGAAACTTTACAGGATTGATCTGTAGCTCAAGTACTTGCGCATATTACACTGGTTTTCCAGTTGATTGATTTTTGGCCGAGGTATGGCGTTTGAATAAAAAGGATGTTAATAAAATTGGCCTGGACTACTCCTCTTATACCACTTATGCAATTTCAATGAAACTTTACAGGATTGATTGGTTGGTATTATACAAATGTACAGTTTTCTACTTGAATGATTTTTGGCCAAGTTATGGTCCTTGAATTAAAAAGGTGTTTTTTTGTGTTGCCAGCTATACAGAAACTTGTTTGGACTACTCCTCAGAAACTATTGGTACAATTTTATTGAAACTTTACATGAACGATCAATACCATGTTTTGATGTGCATCTCATCAACATTTTTTGGTTCATTGAATTTTGTAAGAGTTATGGCCCTTCAATGATTTTAATTTATAAAATTTGTCCATACTTCTCCTCTTATACCATTAACGCAATTTCAATGAACTTCACAGGATTGATCAGTAATTCAAGTATTTACACGGGTTTTTTCGTTTAAGAATTTTTAGCTGAGTTACAGCTCTTGAATAAAAATTGCAATGTTAATGATTTTTGTGTCTCCTGCTATAAAGTAGCTGCAACATCTAATTGGCTATCATCAGGTGACACATGTGATCACTGATCACTCTTGTGTATGGAGGGACTATTAAGTATTTTTGATAAATTCTGTCTCTTGTTATTCTTTATCCAAGGAAATATAAACTGGGGCTCAGTGAGCAGGGAAATGCTAAAATTAGTGTGGAAAGCCTAATGGAACTCAGCCCCACTAAATGTAAAACATCTTTTTTTATTTCAGGACCTGGTAAGACAGGTATGGCGAGTTAGTGCAAGGAGTATTTGGGATGGCTGTCTTTCGCTATCTGAGGATGATCCAGAAATATCTAGTATCATTTCTAAAGAGAAGAAAAGACAGATTTATGGGTTAGAGCTGATTGCCTCAGAGGTAAAAATCAAATGAGTCTTTAAAATGTTTACAAGAATTAAAACATATTCATGTATGCCATGGACAAAGTTCTACACACACACATGAAAGTTTTCTGAAATTTAGAAGTTTAATTAAAGCTGCGTGCCTCTTGAACAGCTGAAATATTTTTTTAATATGAACTTGAGAAAATTCTTCTAAGCTTTGAAGAAAAGTAAAAAGATTCAAGATTCAATTAATAATTTACATCTTATGTGTGATTAAAGACTGATTTTGCATTATTTATCACCATATTTCTGAATATCATATTTTGACCTCTTGTAAGTTGCAATTTACAAATCCTCTTCGGCCAATCTAAGTCTTTTCTGCTGGCAAAAAATGCTTTGAAGATGAAATATGTATCAAACATAGGCATATTTCATCACTGAAATTATCAACAAGTCATTAGTCAATCAAACTTCTGCATGATTTCTGCATGAAGCAAGTGCCTGTGATTGTTCATGTTAAGCTGTCAAAGCCTTTTCAGATCTTTTAAGGACAGATTGCAAACAATAAATTAGGACATTACACAATTCTTTCTTGGACTTTAAATATGAAAATATGTTTTCATTTCAACAAAAAGTTGTTCTTACCTACATAAATTAGTAAAAGAACAAAAACAAATTTGAACTATTAAATTCTTCAGAAAGTGCTACATTGTAGAATGTTCTCCAGTAGCTTTACAATAGATATGTCACAAAAAAAATCTGTATAACTTTGTAGAGAATGTTTGATTGATATGTTTCACCTATGTAATTATATATTAAGATAAATGACTTTAAGCAGTGTTATAATGGATTTATTTTATTTTAAGAACTTTGCCAGCCGAGCAGTACAAGAAGCCTTGGGCTCCTGCTTGACCAACAAGTACTCGGAGGGTTACCCCGGGGCAAGGTATTGTATAACACTGTATAAGTTATAATGTCAAATTGAACAGGGCCCTCATTTCTCAAATTTTGTTGCAGAATTTCAGCACCATTTTTCCCAAAGTAGTACATATCTTTCCCATATATTTTTCTGCTATCTCTTTATAAACTTTCCCTATATAGATTTTTTCTTGACTTGACCATCATATACCCTTACAATATCCTATTTAAATTTCCTTTCTGAATAATAAAATATTTAATACTTAACATTATGATTATTGTTACTATTCCACATAAACTTTGTGCAGGAAAACTTTACAGAAAATCCCCTTACAAGGGAAAATGATGTGAAATATCCCCCCTTTCCACTACAGGTACCGGTACCCCCCCCCCCCCCCCCCCCAAAAAAAAAAACAACAAAAAAACAACAACAACAAACAAACAACAAACAAACAACAACAACAGAAAGACAGCCCTGGTGTAACAACAAATTACTGTTTATTGTGTATAAAAACAACAAGAGCTTATCGCTCTCTAGGAAAAAGAAATACATATACATGTATAAGTTCTCTTATGTACATGTATTTATGTTGAAGTGTTTAATTGTTCCAGTTTTAGAGAGGTATAATTTATGTAACATCATGATCAAGCACAAATAGTTCTACAGTGATAATCAACTGTGTAATTGCCAATACATGTATGTACATAAGGTTACCAAATACTATTGAATTATTTTATCATGCCTATGACCTGACATATCATATACTGATTAAAGAAATTATGGTACTTTGTTTTACAAGGGATCTGATGATTTATATGCTGTAAAGAAATAATAAATAAAATGTTATTTCAGGTATCGTGGCATGAAAATGCAACCTAGATGATAAGAATAGATATATTTCAGGTATTATGGTGGCAATGAGTATATAGATCAGGTGGAGAGACTTTGTCAGAAAAGATCCCTGGACGCTTATCGTTTAGATCCTGCTCAGTGGGGCGTCAATGTGCAACCGTATTCCGGTTCCCCAGCAAATTTTGAGGTGTTTACAGGTCTCCTAAAACCTCATGACAGAATAATGGGGCTTGATTTACCCGACGGTGGACAGTAAGTACTTATGAATTTGTGTAATACACTTCACCTTCTTTGAACTCTTAAGTCGTTGAGCATTGTAAAGTATTGTCAGACTGCACTGATGTGCAGGCAGGCTTGAATCCAGGGCTGCCAGTAGTGGAAATTTTGGAGTAATTTACTCCTGATTTTGGCTTGTGACTTCCAAAATATAATGCTTTTACTTCTTTACCTATATAATGTACTTCCGATGTCAAACATTTTGCAGTCTCTCACTTCCAAATTTTGGAACTTTATGAAAGCCCTGCTTGAATCAGTAGTGGTGTTGTGACAAACTAGGTCTGTTAATGTTAGTAAACACTTGCAAAAACTTGTTGTTTCACTTTTGTTGTCAAGTGATACAACTTCTAATCTTGTCATGATAGGCTCTAGTTAACCAAATATGAAATATAAAATCGAAATCTTTAATAAAGCCTTAAATTTTAAAATTGAATGTTGTGTGTGCCTGTTTATAGACAGCATTGGTAAGTGCAAGCCCAGTACACAGCCCCTAGACAGAATTCAATATTTATACATGAAAATGGCGATATTTTGAATTTAGAAATATTCACAGATAAATGTGGTCATATGACAGTGATCATGGAACTTTCAATATGACACCATTGTGCCAATGATTGAATTGAAAGAGCTATATATTGGATGAACCCCAAGTAAAGAATGCATGTGTTCTTAATAAGAAAACAATGGGCAGAACTGAATGAAATTTCGAAAGGCGATCAAGGGTTATGAAGTCTGCATATTAAAGACAGCTGCCAAAAGAAAACTTTCTTTGCTTGATTTTTTAGTAACAGTGTTATTATTTGGATATGAAATTCAAATGTATGTAAATTTATATTGTATATTTTCAGTTTGACTCATGGCTTCCAGACAGACACAAAGAGAATATCAGCAACCTCTATCTACTTTGAATCTATGCCTTATAGGCTTGATGTAAGGTTTTTGAACTAAGCTTAAGTCTTATAACATTACATGTGTGTCACCATCCTGTGTTATATTTACATGTGTTATGGATGATGGTGATTCTCTGAAACTCTGCAAATGTGGGTTTTTCCTATCCTATCAAGTGATACAAACAAACTTTTACAATTACAACTTGGTTAATCCAATATCCAAAATAAGCATAATAAGTTGATAACCCTATTGTGAATGGTAGTACACTGTGAAATTTTAACAGTAAAAGTTTGGCTTGCCAAGTTCTGGATAACGTCTATTTCCTTGCCAACTTTGTTTGTTTCTTAAAGATTATTAACTGGGAAGAATTAACATAGAAGACAAACAACTTTTTGTGAGGCTTTTAAATGAATGACTTGGTGTCCTTTGTTGCTTTAAATGGGAACAGTTTGATGAATATAATTTATAATTGGAGAGCATAATATAGTCAGAAAAAAACATTTTGATTAAAGCTTAAATATCATTTTTGTTGAATTTACAAAGCAGGTGTCGCATACAATATTTCTAATTAATAATACATGTTTGTGGGATATTCATTATGGTTTTAATTAGGTTTAGTATACATTTGTTCAATATATTTTCTTCTTTACATAATATTACAGGATGCAATTTGAAATTCTAGATACATTAATTCAGACAAATAATACAGAAATATAAGTTTGAATTGTTGAATATTGTTCACTTTAAGGAGCTAATTTGTTGCCTCAATGATTTGTTTGTGATCTTTTTTTTCAATCACAAATTTTATATTTCATGTACATTGTTACAATTTTATCATCTGTGTAAATCAATCATGATAGTGGTGTATTTGTTTTCCAGCCCAAAACCGATCTGATTGATTATGCTAAACTTCGAGAGACGGCCAAACTTTTCCGTCCCAAGCTTATAATAGCTGGTACCACAGCTTACTCTAGACTGCTTGACTACAAGTCCTTCAGAGAGGTATATCCACATTTATATGTTATTGAACAATCACCATGCTCGGTTTGTCATGGACTTGCCCTACTGAGATCCTTCATATTTACCAGTTTACCAAACAAAATCTATACAAAATCTATTGCTTTATTTTTGTTTCGATTCAAATGTCATTCAGTCTAAATAAAAAAAAAAACCATCATATTTTGTCTGGTAGTATGAAGGATCCTAGTACTTTAAATTTTACTTAACATTTTGTAGTTGAAGACTTTGGCATGCTTTGTGAGTAATTTAGAGATTGGTCAAACAGTGTTAATGTTTATATAATACTGAGCTTTTTTTCCAATTTTGACCTTTCTTTTAATCCATGTATTATTGAATTGTGTTAATCCTGTAAACTAGAAATGATGTTCACATTGGAAAAAATTGATATATCTTTCACATTATAATTGTGATATTGTGTACTAGAAATCTTGAGTTACTAGTATATGTTTACAACAGGTAGGAAATACTCAGTAAGAGCCTGAAATCTTCCTTTTCTTTTACCCCATGAGCATATTGTGAAAAATGGCAGTTTTCATTGAAAAGCATCCCGTTCAAACTGCTATGAAACTATGAAAAATGCTTCAATTCTGATGAAACTTGGCAGAAATGTTGACTGGACCATAGTCATTGTAACAGCATGCTCAATCGTAAATTTCCTGTTATCATGGCAATGGGGGGATGTCTCAAAATTGCGTAAAAGTCAATATTTTCTGGGGTTTTTTTCCATCAAAACTGATTTGAAAGTGCTGCAACTTCTCAATGAGTTGACATAGGGTAAATGGCTTTTCAGCGTCGGTTACTAGTTACCCTAAGATCAACCTGAGTCCATATCACATATCCAAAATTTTCTTGGCGATAAGTGGGACTACCGCCCCCCCTTCAAACCCCCCAAACAGAAGGTGGCATATCCCCCTTCTGGCAACCCCCTGTACCATTTAGATGAGGGCGGCACTGAAAAAGTGATCACTTTTTTTTAACAACATTTCTCAAACGAAAAACAGTGTTTGGCCTAAATAGGGCATTTTGTCACTGTTTGAGGCCTCAAAAAGTGAGGGGGTGGGGGGGGGGTCAAAACCCGTCTATATGAGGTAAAAGGTTAAGCTTGAAAGTTGGCATATGACCTTTACAGTCAAGGTGTGACTTTGAACACAGCAAAAAAATGCTATAATGTTATACTATGATGTTATTTGTAGACATGTGATGAAGTAAAGGCAGTCATGATGGCTGATATGTCACATATATCTGGTCTGGTAGCTGCAAATGTTATACCATCTCCCTTCGATTACTCCGACATCGTCACATCAACCACTCATAAAACACTTAGAGGACCAAGGTATGTTTTTATGTTCAATTGATATTTTACTGAAAAGGTTACATGTTATTTTATTATTTCTATTATATGATTCACAAGGGGGAATGACATGACTATATATGGTAATCAAAATGATAGGTTTAGTTTGGATTCTTGAAATGCTTGTTACCAAAATGTTACAAAATAATGAACTTACCGAGGATCAGCAGTCGCCATTACTCGGCTAACTCGCATGATTCAAACACCCTCCTCCACTCACTCCCCTGTCCCCCACCTCCAGTGACATTAATAGATGAAGAGGGAATGGGAATATTATTTTTGTCTAGTCTGTTCATCATAGTAATAATATCTTTATTTTTATTTTTATGGCCTTCATACCAAGATATTTTGACTGGATTGAAATGTGACTTTGGGCCTTAAAATGACTTTGACTTTCCAAATTTCACTATAGCATTGAAATATTTAAAATGATTAATTTTGGGATACAATCTAAGAAAAAAGTTTATATTTTTAATATATAATATTTGATCCATGTAATGAACAAACTGATATCAGACTTTTTAGTTCAATTCTGTACATTGAATTGGTTAAAGCGGCCTTCAGCTTTTCTAAAGGTTAAATATGTTATTTTTTATAGATAAATTGTGTCATTTAATTTTTAAATCAAAAGAAGTAAGGTAGAAAATTAAATTTTCCGTCAATAAAAATGCATAAACAATAAGGAAACCCCTTGATACCTCTAAAATACTGGTCGCCTCTCTATATTAAATAAGTGAAGCAGACAATTTGTTTTCTGATCTTCTATTATTAGAAATGAATGTCACTGACATGCTATAAATAGCTCTCTAGATGCTGTTTTGAAGAAAAGTTGTCAGTGATAAAATGCACTTTTCAAAGATGAAATTAATGAAATACTTAGTTTGAAACAACACAAAATGTTTTTTTTCGAACAAAAACTAAAAGCATGGTGCGGCTTTGAAAAAAATCACCTTTTACCCCATTATATATAAATGATTCTAACACGCCCCGCATTTTTCCCTATTGAACATAACTGAACCGAAAGTGTGTGTTATTATGCTATAAAATCACTGTTTGACGTTCTATATTTAGAAATGTGACGTAATCATTAAACACGTGACGTAAACACAAAAAATGTGACGCTCTGACAATAAGTACGGAAACAAATCAGGCGCAATTTAGCTAATTATCGTGTACGGCAGCATTTATTTGTTGATGTCGTGTTAGAATCGAAATAATATATCCAAATCGGAGATTTTATTGCTTGATAACATCACTGTTTGTCGTTCGGATGCGCATCATTATATCACTCAGGCTACGCCCTCGTGATATAATTCCCCGCATCCGAACTCCAAACAGTGATGTTATTGAGCAATAAAATCACAGTTTGGGATATATTATTTCTTAATCAACATATATCTAGTGTATAAGTTTACAGATGGAAGAAACTGAAATCTAAAATTGTGATCATTATTGTTAACCTTAGCATCATTTTCATCTTCTTACAGAGCTGGTATAATATTTTACCGTAAGGGGGTTAAAGGTCAGGATAAGAAGACAGGCAAGGATATCATGTATGACTATGAGAAGAAGATAAATGGTGCTGTATTCCCATCACTACAGGGGGGACCACATCAACATCAGATAGCTGCTATAGCTGTTGCTATGAGACAGGTCAGTTTTATAATATATTATACTTACAGAAACTTCACTGAAGTCCAAAGGCTTAAAATCATATAATTTGAAATTAGCAAGAGATAATTCAGTAATATACAATGTACTCAGAAAAAAATTGAAAACCGTATCTTATGCTATTCTCTGCTTGATTTGCCCTGGCCTGTATTTGTTTGGGGTCCTCCTGGGCTCCTTGCCGCTGGATCTTGTTGCTGGATCGTGTGGGGGTTGCGTTCGTTAGGCGCCGCCTTTCCTTGTTGATCTTGTTTATCATATTTTGAGTGAAAAGCATTGCAACGCATCATGTCAAAATCGTCAGTGGAGTTCCTTTTAGCATATTTATTTAAGTGTGATAGTGAAAAATTCCTTTGATTTATATTTATCAGAGTTTGTGTCCCAGACTACCTAGTAGAAAAAATATTGTTGATATCAGGAAACATAAAATGCAGCGGGTAAGGGTAAAGTAATAGAGCCTACGTGTATGTGTATGGGCTTTATTCTGTCTTTAAACAGGTTTGATGGTGTGGGTGATATGAAATAAATTGTAAGCTGTTTTAGGAGTTCTTTGTTTGCAGAATTTCTTGAATATATTATAGTTGGCAAATTGAACTAATTAAATTTACATATTGTTTAATTGCATTAATATAGACTTGCTACAATACTTATTTATGTATTTGTTTAGGCTCAGTCCCCAGAGTTTAAGGAGTACCAGCTTCAGGTGTTAAAGAACGCTCACCTTTTAGGCGAGGAGCTTGTAAAACGTGGATATAAAGTTATCTCAGGTAAACATCTGTTGAACTGATAAAAAAATGATTTAATTGTATGTAAATTAGTGATATTTAGATAGAAAAAAATATTTTAAAGAGGAGATTAAAATTTTAAACTTGTCTATTTCGAAATAAAAGTCGAACTGTTGTGATTGTTGCATGATTGTCATTGTTCTCATTGTCGTGCAAAAACTTTAATTTGGTCCATTTTTCAAACATTGTAAAAGTTATCAACATGAAACTTGCAATACTTGGTCATCATGACAAGGTACAATTGTTAGACATGGCATTTTTCTAAAGGCAATATTTTTTTAGTTATACCCCTTTTTAACTAAGAATTTTAACAGATGAGCATTAACACGGTAATAACACCTCACTTGATGCTTTTGTTAAAACTTAAAATTGTATGGCAAATGAATATTGTATTAAAGAGAATTTAGTTTTATCTACAAAAAAGTAAACTTAATTACTTCTGTTGATTGTTCAGTACTCTTTGATAGTAATATTGAAAGGTTATAACCATAGACATGTATTTGTATTTTATTCAATTTCTCTTGATTAGGATATCGCAGGTGCATTATTTTATATTAGAAATCTGAGGGAATAAACTGTGTACTGTTTTGTTGATATAGGTGGCACTGACAATCATCTCATCTTGATGGATCTCAGACCTGCGGGTACAGACGGTACACGCACAGAACTTGTGCTGGAAATGGCTGCTATTACTGTGAATAAAAACACAACTTCCGGAGACACCCATGCCTTCACACCTGGAGGTCTAAGGCTTGGTAATGTCACACTTTTTGTTGTCTTTAATTTGTTCATTGTAAATATTGATTTTGTTTCATGATTAATACATTCCAATATTGGAGCAAAATGTTTAAAAAAAAAGTTTGAGGATAGCAAATGGCCTACTTTCTTGGAATTAGCTTAGGACCTACTTTCTTGGAATTAGCTTATGACTTACTTTCTTGGAATGAGCTTATGTCCCAATGTGTTTGAATTAGCTTATGTCCTAATGTCTTGGATTTTGCTTATGTCCTACCTTCTTGAAATAAGCTCATGTCATATTATTTGAAATAGGCTGATATCCTTTTCTTTAAAATTAGTTAATGGCCTACTTTCTTGAAATTGCCAGATGGCTTTACTTTCTTCAAAGTAGCAGGAAGCTTTCCTTAAAATATAGATACTGGAAATTCTACAATATGGCCTACTTTCTAAAACAAGTACAGTAGAACTTCTATGAGTCAAACTTCGATTAGTCAATTTTCTTGATGTGTCCAAGTACATGTAAAATGAAAGTCCCGATTTTTCCCCTATATATTTCTTTCGAATTTTTCGATGTGTCAAAGTGTTTTCATGGTCCGTATAGAATAAATCGAGTACAATTTGCCACAAATAAGTCGAAGTCCTTTGATTTTCTTGACACTTTCGATCTTGAGATATTTTTCACACCTTATCTGGCTGTGAAGACGATTTCCAATCAACTTGGGTGACAGGTGTTAATTACAGAGCCATGTCTTCAAACAGCCTTTGTATACGTTAAATGTGTGATAAAATGCTTTAATTGATACTTTTCAAATTGACAGTTGACGTAGTGGTTATTGAAAGTGAACAGTAAGAACTAGATGTACTTTTATTTGAGAACTTCCATGACCCGGTGTTGCTTGATAATCAGACGCGAAATATTTACTAAAAGCTGGTTTAGTTATCACCCTTTTCTATTGTTACGCCTTTTGTAACTTTCTTGTATAAGTCATTGAAATTTTGTTATGAAATTTAGACCAATTAATGAGTCGAAGTCCCGATGTGTCGAAGTTTTTACGCAAGTCCCTTCAACTTCGACTTACCAAAGTTCTACTGTAAATTACTTTCAGGATAGTAGGAGATGGCCTACTTTTAGAACCTACATGTAGTAGATGACTTAATTTTTTTGACATTAAGAGATTGCTCGTTTTTGTTGACTGACAAATAAATTATTAATTTGAATATAGTAAATGACATGGCTTTCTGGAAACATGATATTGTCCCAACTTTTTGAAACTGTCTGAAGATTTACATGATGGACAATAGTATGATGCTAAATAACTTGTAAGGAAAGCAACATTTGAGTGTAAACCTGATGTTTTACCTAACTTCTTATGGCTAAAAACTTACAGTAGACTCTTCCTCACAGTTAAGATATTTCAGTCTGTTCTGTAGACATTATGTGACAGGTAATCATGAAGTCAAAAACAAAAAATGCTGACAATCATGTGCTTTGAGATTTATTGAGATATTTTTTAGAACGCTGACATTTTAACATTTCTTCAACTTCAACATAACTCTGTTAACCAATACTATTGTTACTATTATATTGCAAGTTTCATAATATGAGAATGTTTTGTTTTAAAGGGTCTCCTGCCCTCACATCTCGTGGAATGAAAGAGGCAGAGTTTAAACAGGTGGCGGAATTTTTACACCAGGGTATACAAATTGCTGTAGATATACAGAAGAAAACAAGTAAGTGTAATCTTATATATGTGGTTCTTATGATAGCATACTTATTATTATAAGAGTAGAAGGAACAATTAAAATTGTTAAATATTGTTTTGGATGGGTTTTATTAAATTTGATAATATATCAACATATCACATTTAAAAGTTTAAACATATTCAGCATGTTTAGATGTTTTTACATGCATTCTCCTCATTCATTGTTTTTATCCTTTGAACTTTTATTAACTCCAATACATTTAAACAACATTGTGATATTAAAAATAAACCCAATGACAGAATATTAACCCAAATTCATAAGAATGGTTCCTGGTTAGTCTCCTTTCAGAGTTATTCAAATTGCTGTCTAGGATAACCTGATAGGCCTTTGTGCCATTTGTTTATTAAAGTTTTGACATTAATGAGCAGTGTCACAACAAGACCAACATAGGTCATAGGCTGGTCTGGATCCATGCTGGTCGCAAACCCATTATGTTGGTTTTGTTGTGACGCGGCTCATTTCATAACCGTGGTTACTTTGAATGATATGGATATAGAAACAGTCTCACTATTATATTTGATGAGGCCAACCAGCTGTTACAGGACGGTTGTATGTCTTAAATAGTGTATGAAACAATAAAGAAAAAAATAAATATCAAAGCAATAGATCATGTATATCGACAAAATATTTGACTTTATCACATAAACTGCGGCACAGAAGTGTAATAAAGCCATTTGATAAAAACAATATTTTACGAGTGTAATAACACTTTGACGTGACATCATTTGTGCTTCATAAAATATAGCGTTAAAGTACGCTAATGTTAGCGTTACACTATAGGCACATCAATGAAAAATAACTCTTTTTAACAGTTTACCGTTTTTATTTATATATTTGATAAATAGAATATTATATTTATATATTTGATAAATAGAATATTATATTCGTGTAGATTCAATACTAAATTTATTGAACTCATTGAATAAAACAATCTTACGCTCGTTAGAGGCTCACATTATATGATTTTATTCAACTTGTTCAATAAATTTAGTATTAGACCTAAACTCAATATTCTCTATTCATCATTATTATTATTACTATTAAACGTACAGAGACTGTGAAAGATTTCCGAGCATACGTACAAGAAGATAATGCTGAGTCAGCTAAAATCAAGACATTAAAGAACCAAGTGGAGGAGTTTGCTGCATCATACACGATGCCTGGACTGGAGAACAGATAAATTACTAAACAAGACCCCATGATCTCAGTCATGATTGAAAATTTGAATATTGTACAAGTTGAATAAAGATACGATACAGCATTAAATCTTTGATATCAGTATTTTTATATAGAAATAAGTAAAACATATCTCTTTCTATTGAAATCTGTTTCTTTATATATTAAAACAGCTACTTAATTTCAGGTTTCAGTCACTCTTAACTTTGTACTTAAAGCTAGATAGATCTTTATAAAAAAAACAATTTTCACTTTTTGTTGATATTTGTATAAAACACCAAATATGTAATAATGTGTTGGGAGTAAGATTTTAATGTGGTTAATATTAACTGTTATAAAAAAATATATTATTTGGTGCAGTTTTTACAATTTACAAAACAAGGTCTTCATGTATTACAAAATATGTTTTAAGTTCCATTTGATATAAGTCTTTATCAATATTTTTTGTGCAAAATTTCCAATCATTCGCTCACTCCATTTTTTAAGAATAAGAATTCTAATCATGAAAAATATCCCAATATTGAGATCAAGTCACTCAAATTGGGCTACAAACAGCAAAAAAATATGATTTTCAATTCATTTCTGAGTATATTCCTTAATAATCCTGTTTTAAGTGCCCTACTTGATTTATTCAATAATTCAAATGTTATGTTTTTATACTAATTTTTTATGACCTCAGTGGAATTCCTTTAAGTATCTAAACTGTTAAGGATGATAATTTCACAAATCTTTTACATAATTATGTTTTTGATGAGAATAACAAATATATCATTTTTGAATGTGTATCTTATTGTAAAGATTATTAGAGTATTATATTAGGTTGTTCTTATTTTAATATTGGTGATTATAACACAGCAATAGAACCTGTTAACAGCACAGCATTACACAAAAGTTGTTATTTTTTAATGCAAAATGCTTTGATATTGTTTATTTGTATGATCTATGCTTTGTTGTTTGTATGTGTGAAAAAAGCAGTTCTGTATAACAAAGTCAAATTTTTGTTTGTGTTTGTTTCTGAACATTATAGTTATGTTGCTTTTATTTATGTATTATTTTTAGCCTTTTTGGTATTTTAACCAGTTGATGTGTCAGTTTCAGTAGAACTAACTTGATTGTTTAAAAAAATGTTGCAACAAAATTGTATTTATCAACTGTAAATATAAAAGAAACACCTCACTTAATTCATTAGACAGGGCACATATTATCTGACACTTATTAAATGATTGGGTGTGAATTAGTTATTTTTCAATGCTTTACAATCACTGAATCTCAAAATGTATAGTTTCTCCACACACTTGTTATATTGCACTTTTATTGAACATTAAGTTTCTTAAAATCTGAAGGCTTCCAACCTTACATTTTCAGAAAGAAAAAACATTAGATAGAATAAAGGTATGATTTCATTGTTAATTGTTTTATATCAGTATAAAAGAGATGTAGCTGGTCAGCCAGCAATGACAGCAAGTCAGCTAACAATGTCAGATAGTCTGCCAACAGCGTCAGCTAGCCGGCCAACAGCGTCAGCTAGCCGTCCAACAGTGTCAGCTAGCCGTCCAACGGCGTCAGCTAGCCGTCCAACAGCGTCAGCTAGCCGTCCAACAGCGTCAGCTAGCCGTCCTACAGCGTCAGCTAGCCGGCCTACAGCGTCAGCTAGCCGTCCAACAGCGTCAGCTAGCCGTCCAACAGCGTCAGCTAGCCGTCCAACAGCGTCAGCTAGCCGTCCAACAGCGTCAGCTAGCCGTCCAACAGCGTCAGCAAGCTGGCCTACAGCATCAGCTAGCCGTCCAACAGCGTCAGCTAGCCGTCCAAAGCGTCAGCTAGCCGTCCAACAGCGTCAGCTAGCCGTCCAACAGCGTCAGTTAGCTGTCCAACAGCGTCAGCTAGCCGTCCAACAGCGTCAGCTAGCCGTCCAACAGCGTCAGCTAGCCGTCCAAAGCGTCAGCTAGCCGTCCAACAGCGTCAGCTAGCCGTCCAACAGTGTCAGCTAGCCGTCCAACAGCGTCAGCTAGCCGTCCAAAGCGTCAGCTAGCCGTCCAAACAGCGTCAGCTAGCCGTCCAACAGCGTCAGCTAGCCGTCCAACAGCGTCAGCTAGCCGTCCAACAGCGTCAGCTAGCCGTCCAAAGCGTCAGGTAGCCGTCCAACAGCGTCAGCTAGCCGTCCAAAGCGTCAGCTAGCCGGTCCAACAGCGTCAGCTGGCCGTCCAACAGCGTCAGCTGGCCGTCCAACAGCGTCAGCTAGCCATCCAACAGCGTCAGCTAGCTGTCCAACATTGTTAGCTAGTCAGTCGGCCAACTTTTGTTAGCTAGTCAATCGGTCACTTTTTGTTCAGGTGTTTTTGCATGCTGGTAATATAGCAATGAGGGGACACCTGAGGTCTTTTACCACAAGCAAAGTTTGAAAGTTGCCATATGTCTGTAACTGTATTAGAATGACTTAAAACCCAATCAAATTTAAAAAAGAGAGAGAAGAAATGATAGTTACTGAATATTGTTATTAGGCTTTCATTGGCCTCTCACCATTTTGTGATGATTTATGCATTTGATGCTGGAACATTTTAAGTTGTCAGCCATTTGTTAGTGTATACTGACCAATTTGTGTACATGTACTTTAAATGTTTGGTGAACTTTGATCACTTAGTTTTGTAATTCTGATTCTTTTGAATACTCAGTCAGTTGTAAAATTATAAAATGTACTTTATTTAAAAAAAAAAAGAGAAAAAATGAATTTTGTGTGTTGCTTTTGATTGAGTTTGCTTTTGTTTCTATATATGCATGTAGAAATTTAGAACACTGGTTGAAATGTATGTAATAACTGCTGTAACAAAATGTACTATAGACTATAATTGCTGGTTTTCTTTCAATACAGGGTTTGTCATATAATGTTTTTTGTACAATAATGTGGAATATCAACTATTTTCCCAGTTTGTTTTTTTAACCATTACAGAAAGTTGCTGCTGATGAAAGAAATTGCTAATATCCAATTATATGTCCAGTCTAAGCTTATTTACAAACTTTTTTAAAATGGTACATGTAAATGACTACCAATGTAGGAAAGTAGTGAAACGAGAGATAGATTTTTATGACCAATACGGTTAAAATAAATGCTAGGTATCAATGTTGTAACATCATCTGAAGTTCATAGTTAATACTGTTGAGATACTTTAATGTGAGGATCTCTTGTTGTATTACTGATTGTATTAATACTTTTGTAGCAAAGGTCTCGGTGAATGAGAGGTTGAAAGTTTCCAGTGACTTCAGTTTACTTGCCACTCACTGCCATAGATGCAAATCCTATCTATGACTTTGAATAATTCCACATGACTAGACTATTAAACCTTGTTAAAGAAAATCAGTGGTTAAAATTAGGTGCTGCTCATTTTATATGAGGGCTTTTTCCTCATTTAAATGTCTTCCGTCACCATGCCAACCACATAAAATAAAGCTTGTTTCATAAGAATCATGTTACACAGACTTCTACTTGAACTTGATTTTTAATTTACATTTTATAGAAGAGTAGTTGAAATTTTGAATTAATCATATAGTATTAGTATATTGTTATAAAATAATGTTAGATTTTATAGTTAATTGTCAAAAACAAACTAGGTGCTATATTTGGTAGTATTTTAGATGAAACAGAAAAACATATTTTTTGTATTAAACAATATTTATTATTTTAACATTAAAACAGCAGACAGAATTAGAGTACTATTTCAATTGTACTTGCATCATAAAGAAGAACTTGCACCCAACAGCTGTTTTATATACATGTATACTGAGTTGACTGTGAAAATGTTGCCATGCATTTAGACTACTTCACTTGTGGTTAATAAAATGGATCACCATTTGCTCTAGTCCCAGTCTGTAACAAATGCACTTTATTATAATAGTCTGTCTCAAGTCATTGGCAAGATTATTTATTACAATTATCCCTACAGTCAGGTTTAGTTGTCCTAGTCATTTTGGGTAAGGTTACAATTTATGTTTCATATAACATTTTTGAAGTATAAATTACTTTTTTGAAGCGTTAACTTTTTACATTTTGTTTATTTGCATGTCTCCCTTACACCTTTGATTATGTAAATTATACTTTCCTGATATTTGATTTGACATAGATTAACCCTTACCCAGCTAAATATCTGTAATACATTTGTCCATTTTTGTTCAATCTGGACGAGAGCATGATGGGATGGCACTGATTTTAGTCTGAAGTGATTCAGAAGCAGGCAGATGGTTTATTGTTAAATTAGTTACGGCTACAAAATGTTTTTTATTTTTGAAATATTTGTGGTGTGATGAGAAAGATCTGAAAATATTTTTTGTTTTTGTTTAGCTCCTTGGAAGTTAAACAATAATTTATTTATAAAAAAATTTTTTTAACACCAGTATATACTTTATGTGTAGCATTTTATTTGTAAAACTCAATATTTGTTCATTGATAATATACTGTAGATGTAAAATGTGTTATTTTATGTTTTTAACAAGATGTTCTTGTGTTCTCGTATATAAGTTTAAGAAACAATACGTAAAATTGTTTTCTTATATATTTTAATGCTTGTTTGCAGTTCAGTGGTTGCATTATATACCTTTGTAATGTCTCTGGAAACATTTGTTCAGAATGCATGTTATTTTTCAGGCAAACAGTTGAAAATCCATTATTGTTCTGTTCTGTTCAACTAGTGTTCTATTTTGTAAGTCACATTAAAAATCAGTTCAGGAAGCAGACAATTTTAAAAGGTTGATCAGGAATATTTTTACATTTACATTGTATAATTGTATAATAATGATTTACAAAATATGTTACTTGCCAGTTTTATATACCAGGGCTAAAAAACATTTGAGCCGCGTCACGACAAAACCAATATAGAGGGTTTGCGACCAGCATGGATCCAGACCAGCCTGCACATCCGCGCAGTCCGATCAGGATCCATGCTGTTCGCTTACAAATGGTATAACAAGTAGAGAAACTGATAGCGAACAACATGGATCCTGATCAGACTGTGCGGATGTGCAGGCTGGTCTGGATCCATGCTGGTCGCAAACCCATTATGTTGGTTGTGTTGTGACGCGGCTCAATTTTTCTTTTGTTTTTAAAGTTTGAAATAAATTGGACTGCATTTTAACTAGATATACATGTACATTGTAGATTGTTTTACAATTGAAAATGAGTTTTTGAATAATATTTTCATTGATATGAAATCTGCTTTTGAAAGGAATACACATTGACTAGAAATAGATTTGAGAGACTTACAAACCTTGTAAATTACATCCCAAGAACTAAATATTTAATCCATATCTGTTTTTCAAAGCATCATATCGATGGCTCAGCGCAATACTGGTCTAACTGCTATTTTTGAAAATGTTCAGGAGAGACAAAAAACTGATTTTATCCAAAAATACTTATATTAGAAAATATTTTTTTGCTATGTTAACATTAATTATAATAAGAAATAATGCCATTTATATAATTTTTTATTAAAGTGTTACAAATTGTGTATTTTAGAGTTAGACCTTTATTGCGCTGAAATTCTGAGCGCAATACAAGACTAACTTGAGTTAGACTCAAATTCCCTCTTGCAATTTGGTAAAAGTGGTACAAATATTTGAGTTAGACCTGTTTTATGTTAAATATTCTGATATAAATTTGAACAAAATTGTTTTGTTAATTTAAACATTGTTTAAAATATTTTGCAAGTCTGTAGAAGTACTTTACAAAGACTAAATCCTTTAATATTTTTCTATTAATATATCATGCTAGCTGACTTTAGATGAAAGTACACTTCTATAATCTTCTTTTCAATTTGTTTGAGATTCAGATTTACTTAAGATCTTTTTGCAGATTATCTGTGCAATAAATTTGAATTCTAAACAAAATGCAAACAGTTTTGATTCAATATACTGTTATGAACAGTAGTCATGAACAATGATGACTGACAATCCAGGGTATATATTATGATATCATCACAAAGTTTGAAAACAGGATTAATGTACATTTTCTATAACTCACATTTGTACAAGAAGAAAACATTTTAATTTTTCTCAATGCACACCATTACCACCCATTGGGTGCTTAATTAAAATGCTGTGATTCCGATATTACTGTTATGCGCTAAATCTTAATGAATTTAATGTATGTGGTCCTCTTTTCTGATGATATAATCATTTATAAATATCAAATATTTTCAAAATGAAAAGTCGCTGTTAGACCATTATTTTATTACAGATTTTGTATTTACTTTTCTCAACTGTTTAGAGTATATTTTGAACGTGAAATGTGCAATTTTATGACAATGTTTGCTGAAAACTGTGCATATCTTAAGAAAAGTGTTTCATTTTATATATCAAAGTCATTTTAAAACCTCTAAATTTTGTCCAAATAACAAGAGGTTGTCAAACATATTTTAGAGAAAAAAGTAGGGCAGTACAACCCACTATCAGGGATTCATAGAACAAAGTATTGTTAGCACATGATATAATTCAGAATCATTTTTTGTAAGTTAGATGTGCTTTAAACACTTGCAACCAATTACTCATTTCAGATATGAAAAGGCACACACCTGAAGCAACCATGTACCACACATTGTTTTTGTTTTTTAGATTGGCACTAAACAATTACAATGGATAAATGTTTGAATTTTCTCATTGACACTGATACCAAAAGCAGTTGATAGTAAATTACCATTTTTAATTTCATAAAATTTGATAAGGTAAAAATTAATGGCTTTTAGATCTAAAATGAACATTTTTATCAACTTATTAGCTGTTTCTGCCGCATAAGTCAAAGAGTGTTTGACAATTGCACTCTCGAAAATTCAATGGAGCTGTGTGATGTAAAAAATTGTCCAGAATACAGAACTGAAAGGTCATTATAATATATTTTTTTTTATTTTTTCTGCACATATCACATCAGAAAGAAAGATATTGTATCAATAATGCTTTTATGTTCTCA